AAGATGGAGGAGCAGCAGGAGATGAAGAATTCCATGCTGGAGCAGCTGGTGACTGAGACAGCCAACCAGCTGAATGCTCAGGTGAGGTGCTGGGGGAGCACTCCCACCACCTGCCAGCTCAGTGGAGGGGTCCTGATGGGGTTCCAGCCACATCCCCCATCTGGCTGGGGCCATCGAGCCCCACAGCACCCAGGTCTGCTGGCTGCATCCATCCCATCCTGCAGCTGGGCGAGCTGGGGGAGATAGTGGGGACCGTGCAGGAGGGGCAGGAGATGGAGAAGGCAGCGTGCTCCAACTGCACCTTCGACTACAGAGTCCTTTGGGGAGGGGGCTGAAGGCATCTCCTGGCTGGTTGTGCTTTGCTGTAATGTAGGGGAACCCCTCGCTGCCCCAAATTGTCTTGGTCTGGTCAGCAGCATGGAAGAAAATTAAAGCCTTGGTGCAAATTTCCCGCAAACACTGAGGGTTTGTGGGCACTGGCTGAGTAATCCAGGTCTGTCCGTGCAGGGAAAACAGCCCCCCTTTTCTCAGCACCACCTGTTCTTCCTCTCCGGAGCAGGACCAGCAGCTCCTGCAGCACATGGAGGAAATGTTCAGGAAGATTCAAGAAGACTGTAACAAGCTCAGATCTGTCTCAGTGAGCCTCCAGACAGACTGTGAGATGAAGCAGAAGGCTATTGAGGTGGGTGGCTCAAAGTCCTGCGTGGTCAGAGCATCTCCCAGGCACACTCCAGCCAGGGGACTACAAGGAATCTGCCCCCCTGCCGACCTGCTCACAGCCCTGAGCGGGTTCCGAGGGTGTTTCCTGGACAATTTTGGGTAGAGGGAGTAGGGGGTGCTCAGCTAGCCAGGAGGCAGCTGTAACCCTGCTGCGGTTTCAGGGGATGCTTTCTGTGTTGAAAGATGCTGTTCCAGTCCTTGGAGAAGCTGAAGAAGGAAAAAGTAGATGAGCAGAACATGTTGACAGCAATGGACATGGTAGAGTCTCGACGGCCCTCTGTGCCAGCCCAGGGCTTCCTGGGCAGGGTGACAAATGCTACTTGTCCCTTGGGGGATGGGTGGCAGAAGTGGCCTGGGAGAGGGAGGATTTCCAGACAAAGTGCACGTCCCTTGCCTCTCCACTGGTGGGAACAACCCCATGGGTGTGATGGGGTGAATGGGGCCACCCTGCCCTGAAAGGGGAACGATAGCATGGAGGGAGTGCTTCTCCCTCTGCCCCTGACACTCCCTGGCCCTGCCTGTCATTCCTCAACCCTTTCCCCTCTGCTCTCCTGCCTTTCCCCTCTGCTAGAAAGCGGACAAAGATGCCTTGGGCAGCAAAGTCGATTGCACTCAGTTTGAGGCAAGCATGGAGGGGCTGGATCAGAGGCTGCGGAAGATTCAGGGCCAGATGTCAGGACAGAAGCAGCACTGCAACGAGCTGCAGCAAAAGCTCAAGGACATGGCGGAAAACAAGGTGAGCGGTGCCTCATCCCTGCTGTTAAAAATTGGCACCTTTGGGTCTTGGCAGCCTGAGGCAGCATCCCTCTGAGGGTCCCCGAACAGGATTTTCCCTGGAGCTGGCCATGACCCCTGCCAGGGCAGCTGGCTGAGGGTGTGCACCTGTCCACAGCTGGATCGTGGGGAGCTGAAGTATTTCCGAAATCGGTTAGAGGAGATCTGGAAGGGGAAGATGGAGGAACTTGAGAACAGGATCTTGGGTGACAGCGCTGCTGGGCTGAGGAAGTGAGTGGGATGGGGATGGCAATGGCTTTGGGGACAGCGATGGTGCTGTTCCCTCCAGCTGTCCCAGACAGTGCCCACGTGGTACCCTGGCACTGCACCAATTTAGCCACCAAACAAACCGTGGCGATGCTGATGAAGCAGCTGCACCTTCTCCTTCCACCAGCAGCAGGTTCTGCACAGGAAAGGAGGCAGGAGGAGGGGGCAGCTGTGGGACAGAGCCCTCCCAAAGCACAGTGGGCTGTGGCTGCAAAGGCTTCCAGAAGCAAGGCTGGGAGATGGGCACTCCTGCCCCTGGCAGGGGTGTGACACGCAGAGCCCCAGGGCTGGGTGGTGCCCTGCCCTCCTGGCCAGGCACAGGGGGGTCATTAGTGCTGCTGAAGCACTGCAAGCAGTGCAAGGGCTGCTTGGGATGGCAGCGTGGGCCCTGTGCCCTTCAGCTGGCACCAGCCAGTGGGTTGGGGAATGGGGAGAAACCAGGCCCCACAGCCCCGGTTGGCCCTGCAGACGCCGTGACTCCCTGCAGTGCCGTGCCCAGCACCTTGCTGCTGCCAGCGAGCCGCTGCCTGCGGGTGGGCAGGGCTGTGTCCCCCCAGGAGCTCAGCCAGCCCTTTTGTCTCCCCCTCCTTAGGCAGCTGCCAGTCCCTTTCACGTGCCTGTCCTGTGACCGCCCGGTCAAAACGCAGGTTCCTGGCCCGTGAGTATCACCTCTGCTTTGGGGGGGCTGTGTGAGTGGGATGGGGCTCAATGGGTGCCAGAGGTGACCTGCTGTGCCAGGCACAGGGGTGAGGGTGTCTGCTTGGGAGGGTCTGACTCTGTTGAGCCCCCTCCTCAAAGCTGCCTGTCCGGAGGGAGTGAGAGACCTTGTCCCACAGGGCTGCCAGCAGCAGAAACTGTGAGGCACCAGACTGTGGGTTTTGGGGTATTACCCCCAGCAGACGTGAGTTGTTTGTCCCCTGTCATCCACCTGTGGCTTCTGCCCTCCACAGGAAACCCGAGACACTCCCGTACTTGAAGCCGATGCCCCCCAGCAAGGACCCACAGCACAGCCAAAGGTAGGGAGTTGGGTGCCTCGTGTGAAAGGAGTTCCATGCACTGCCCTGTGCTGGGCACTGAGCATCCCTGTGCCCCATCCCACAGGAGACCAGTAGTCAGTGGCAGGGTCCCCCGAGTGCCCCAGACTGGTGGGGACCCTGAGAGATTCAGCCACGCGGTGCAGCGCATCCAGCCTTGCCCCCGCCTCAGTGCACAACTGCAGCGCCTCATGACACTCCCCAACAAGGTA